AGAGAGAGTGGGGTGGAGATAGAGAGAGTGGGGTGGAGATAGAGAGAGTGGGGTGGAGATAGAGAGAGGGGGAGGGAGGGAGAGGTGAGGGGGAGAGCCGGGGTGACCCCCAACCCTGTGGACAACAACATGTTGGCAACCACAACAAAAGATGCTCAGCCACCAAGAGCCTCACCAGCTGGCTGTGCATTTCTCAAGACGATCACACCATTAGCAATCATTCATTCCTAAGCGGTTTCCCATTTGGAATATACTCACTCAATATAGATATGTGAATTCAAGTCGACTGATCACATGAAGGCCGACTCATACACAGCTACTCCACTTGGCGAGTACAGCTGCTTCCTGGTTCATACTGTACCTCCCAGGCAGCATTGTAATGGAAAGCACTCATAAGCTCAATGAATAAATGAGATTCTAGGGTCAGGCTTCAGATAAGAATGTAGAATAGCAGCTCTTAGCTTGCAGCTTTATTACAAACCTGAGCAACACTTCCAAATGACAAGCTAATTCACATCCCTAAGGAGCCCACGTGAATTCTGAGAACTGAACATTATCCTGAGGTTTACCAATCACTAGCGTGCAACTGTGTCTGCCTAAGGTAGGGACCAGCAGGTCATATTGGCTGCTGAAAATAGATACACATCCCTTCCTCAATCCTATAGAGGAAGGTAAATCCTATAGAGGAAGGTCAATCCTATAGAGGAAGGTCAATCCTATTGAGGAAGGTCAATCCTATTGAGGAAGGTCAATCCTATTGAGGAAGGTCAATTCTACTGACTTCTGGACATGGCAGAGAACTACATCAGCCAACTTCTCCAGCCTTCACTCATCCTGGCTGAATCTGCCATGTTACTATTCTCCAAAAATTAAGATGTAGATAGTCTCCAATACCAAAGTGATGTATATGACTATACTGTTACATACAAGAAACCATACAAAGTTGAATCCCTGACCTAACTTCATCAACAACAGGATGACAACTATTATAATACAAGATATAAAAGCTACCAGCAGTATTTCTGTTGGTGCCACACTTTTGTTTTTCAAGGACATCTTCCATTAGCCAACATTCATTTGGTACCTTACTCACATTTGGAATAAATTTTCACAATAACTTCACACACACACACACACACACACACACACACACACACACACACACACACACACACGAGTGACCATATACATGCAGTACATGTATAAAAATTACATGCACTGTAATAAAGTAACAAATTACCTTTGTTTTTAGCTATGTTTTAAACAACCCATAAGGACTGAGTTATGAAACGAGAGTAAATATAGTAATCAAATGGTTGGTTTAAAAAATAAATCTACTTAAACTTAAGGTTCAAGCAATAATGAAGAGTGCGTTAAATTCCTAGTGTATAATGTGCATGTCACATCATGCAGTACGGGCCTCTCCATTCTGCCGGTCAGCTCACGCTAACCTGCAAACGACAATCCAGTTTTTCTCCCAAGCACATCCTAAAGAATGTACTGTATATCAATACCCAATACTTGTGACATTGTATGTTTTACTGGATGTGGCCAGCAATTGCATTTAACACG